GAGCTCCTGCCCGCTGGAGCAGGGGTGCCACAGTGGGAACAAGGTGTCGAGGCTCATCAGTAGTTGTCGTTGGAAAGAGTTTGACACTGTTTTATACCTGTTGGTTCTAGTACTCATTTACTCTCACCAGGTGAGGCTATTTTTGCCTGTTTTCTAGATAATGGAGTATTGCTTCGAAAGTTTCCTTTAGTTCCCAGTCAAGGAGCGTTTCCCCAGAGATTCAAAGGAAGAGGGGTTTCTTTCTGTGAGCTCTAGTTTAATCCAGATGTGCAGATAAAACTGCAGAACAAGATGTGGTAGTTCTTCTTTCTGTGGAGTTTTGCAAAGCCTCTCTTCAATTTGTAGTTTAAGGAATAGGGCTGAGAAAATCTTAAGGGAATTTTTAATAAACTCTTCTTAATTCACTGTTTAGGAACAACATGGTTATATAGATAACTTGACTCTAAAAGAATGATATTGAAAGACTATAAAAAGTGTAAAGTGTATCTGAAGTATATTAGAAGTATGTAAGTAAATTGTCCTTTAATTTGGATAATCTTTCCTTTTTTTTTTTGTATGGGAATTGAACCCAGAGGTACTTAACCACTGAGCCATATCCCCAGGCATTTTAAAATATTTTATTTTGACACAGGGTCTTGCTGAGTTGCTTAGGGCCTTGTTAAGTTGCTGAGGCTGGCTTTGAACTAGGAATCCTTCTGCCTTAGCCTCCCTAGGTGCTGGGATTACAGGTTTTGTGTCACTTTGTCCGGCTTAACTTGGATAATCTTAAAAAGGTAACTGGATTCCCAGATTTGCCCCTGAGAGCCCATTTAACAATCTACCCTGTCTGCTTAGAATCTGTACACAAGTATGTTTTTTAAAATGTGCATTGCACTTCTTCCTTGGTTGGAAACTTGAGGCTCTTGGAACAACTTAGCACCAAAAGGAGACACAGGCCAGGAAGTGTATGTGTGTCCAAAAGCTCATTTGAATATAGAGGAATTACCAGAAGGCCTCATCAGGAAATGAAATTAGGGGGCTGAGGTGGTGGCTCAGTGGCAGTGTGCTTGCCTGGCATGTGTGAGGCACTGGGTTCGATTCTCAGCACCCCATATAAATAAATAAAATAAATGTCCACTGACAACTAAAAAAATATTTAAAAGGGGGGAAAAATCAGATTGCAGTAGAAGCTGAGTAACTAAAACCAGACTATTCGGGCCAAGAGCTCTTCGAAAATGGTGTTGTATCCTGTGGCCTTCAAAACTCTTGTCTTCACGAAATTTAAATGCAGACTGCAGCAGTTGGGGAATGCATGTTGGGAATAACCTGTTTAGATAGATATTTGAGGTCTGAGCTTAGGGGTGCTCCACCACTGAGCTAACACACTTAGGCCTTTTTATTTTGATACAGAGTCTCACTAAGTTGCTCACGGAGCTGGTTTGAACTTGGGATTCTCTTGTCTCAGCCTCTTGAGTAGCTGGGATTATAGGCGTGCACTTGTGTCTGGCTAGGACCATTCTTAATGTGGGTGATATATCTGATATAGCATAGATTTTCCATGAGAAATGCAGTGGTCATCCTCTGAAAATATATCGATAGGAGGAGAGATGATAAAAAATATAAAATTGTTTCAGTTTAAATGTGAATATGAAGAACAACTTGCATTTGAATTTCTGGAAAAGGCTTAGATTTGATTTGTTTTTTGGTGTTTTAAAGAGCTAGTAGTGAAAAGTGGGGGGGGGGTCGAGATATTGCAGTTCTACATATTTAATGTTAAAAATAGTAAGAATATGCATTGGGATGAATGTGGATTATGGGTAAATATTTAATAATAGAACATAAGAGAAGGTTAAAATGAAAGAATTTGCAGTATAGGAGTATCTGTTTTCAAGCCTTTTGAGAGGTATTGATAATCTGTATTTCATGCTTTTGATTTTCAGGAATCTCAGGTTAAGCTAACAGTTTGACAGCGCAAATTAACTGAATTTTAAGCAGGACTGGGAAAACTGCTGGCAAAGATGAGACAGAGATTACAATACAGTTTTAGTCACTGATAAGATGAATTTGCTGCCCTGTTGCCTATAGCCTTAAAATATAGACATTCCAGTCATTTTTCTACTTAAAATTTCTGCTTTAATTAAGTCAGTTTGGTCTGGCACTACTTAAAGTGAAATAGTAGACCTTTCCTCTGCTTTGGGCTCTGCAGATTGAACGTGGAGATAGGGCTGCTGCAGGGCCCTGTGGTGGACATCGGGCCTGGAATGTTAATTCTCTCAGCCTCCTGGTAGGCCACGCATACCCCAGGCTGGTTTTGAAATCACCAGCTCAGTCTTGGGCTTCACACCTCCATAAAAAGCTTTGTCTCATCTTTTGAAAGAAAATCTGGAGGATATTAGATTTGCTTTTCTCAGGCATCTATTCTAATCTAAAAAATCTTTCGAGAACTCTGGGTCCTGGATTCTGGAGTTACGTGGGGAGGTCAGCGTGTGGGTCTGATCAGAGGCCAACAGTCAGTGTCACTGGAGCAGAACCACACACTGCCCTCCACGTCATTTTAAAAGTACAGACCTTTCCTTGGCTGCTGACATTGTGAATTTGGAGCAGAACTTTTCTTTGGAGGAGGTGGGGCCTAGGACAACTCACCCGTTGCCCCTGTGTACTTTCACGTGGTCCACTTGGGTGGGTCACTTCTGACCCTTCCTCTGCCTCCCTCAAGGTCAAGCTCAGGTGTGTCCTGCAGAGCCTGTGAGCTGCACCTTTGGCAGCCTGCCTCCAGGGAGGTCTCTCCCTCCCTCAGGGTCTAAGCCCCTCTCCTTCAGCAAAAGCCAGGGTAGTTGCCCAGGCAGCCACCCAAGCCATTTGTGTTTCTGCCTCCAGTGTCTGGCACAGTGAGCATGGTCACTGATAAAATCATTGAAGTCAGTACACACAGTCATGTCCTTAAAATGAACAGCGGTGACCAAGATGCAGGAGTGGAAAATGGCCACACACCCTCTTGGGGCAAGGAGTGAATGGGGCAGAATGGGCAGTTCATAGCTTCCTGGCTTGGGTGTGGGGTCTCACTGCGGGGGGGGCCCCCCTCTTTATACCTCCAGTTTCTGTTCTCATCTCTGCATTGAGAATGCCCTTGCTGAGCTCCCCAAGTATCTGTGGTCAAGTAGGGAAAGCTTTTATAACTTTACCTTAGTGGACCCCAGGTGTGCATTGACGAGCGTGTTTTGTTGCCACGTGTGACTGCCCTTTCTCCCGTGACTCCACTGTCTGGAATCTGACTACATTTCCTCACCATTCTTTTTCCCTCTATGGGCTCATTTTCCTCCCTTTTACCTAATTAGTGATGTTCTCTAAGATGAATTTCTCTACCCATTGTTTTCTTTTCTCGTAGTCTTCCTGGATAAAGTTAATGGGTTTTGCTTGCTTCATGATGTTAATTCATCCAGTATTTATTAAGCATTTACTCTGTGCCAAGTGCACCTTTTGACTTTGCCCTGGAGAAATAATTGTAAATAAAAGAGAAAACCCCTGCTGATTTCCCCTACATATTTTCTTTGTAATATTCTTAGTTATTGATAGACCTTTATTTTATTTATTTATTTCTATGTGGTGCTGAGAATTGAACCCAGAGCCTCACACGTGCCAGGCAGGTGTGCTACTGCTGAGCCCAGCCCCAGCCCCTCCCAACTTATTTTTTAGGTCCCCAAGCTGCAAACTTGTGTGTTTTCATCAGGATTTCCCACTGGAGCCTCAGTTTTCATGTGTAAGCGGAGTTGGCTTCCACTCCCTACACCCCACCAGATGATACCTTGCCACTCCCCAGTCCTAGTCCTGTCCTCTTCATAGCTGCCAGGTCAGGCCCACAGCCTCCCAGCCCAGCGAGGCCCTTTGAGCTGCTGTCAGCCACTTCCCACAGGAAATGCTGGTGCTCTGGGAAGGCACTCTGTGGTTCATTCAGAAGAGGTGATCTGAGTGGCTTGTAAAGCTCACCCTTTTTCTGGCTTCTGTGTCCTTCCACTTCTTCTGACTTTCATGCTTTGCTTGGACTCCGACTGCTTGCATTTTCTCCAGGCAGTTGGTGTCCCTGAGCCGGTGCTGGTGCTGGTGCTGCGCCTCCCCACCTTGAACCTGTTATTCCCATTCAACTGGGAAATGGACAAGCCTTCCTGAGAGTCCCCATGTCCTTAGAGTTGTGTATGGATCTGTGTCAGATCTTGGATGGAAGAGTCTGTGCAGCTGGCGGCTGGCCTTCGTAGCCCTGGGCCAGGGATTCCCTGCGCTGCTCAGCCCTGCCTGTGCCCTGGGCGAGAAAGCTCTGCTGAGCCTGACTCCTGACCCTCCCTGATGGCCTTGGCCCTGAGGCTAGGACTGACTCACCAGACCAAAAATAAAATCTGGAATCTAGTTTTGAGCTGATTATGTTTGGTAAGATGCTTGCTTGAACAGGGAAGGTGGCTTATGACTCATAGTCTGCAACTACTGGTGATCTTTGAAAAATTTTATCCTAGACATTTTGTATTATCTAAAATCTGACCTTTCACTTTTTAATGAACACTCTTGATGCACTAATGCTTCATCAGGACCAGCAGGCTCAGGTCTAAAAAATATCCTTGTTGTAAGGACACTTTGAAGTCCTAAAGTGTTGCTAAATCATCTTATCCTTTGCGCTTACTACTAGTAAGTTAAAAGGAGCCGAGTGGGGTTAGCTGTTATGTTCATTTTCTATGTGCACAATAGAATTTTAGATGCTTAGGATGTAAAAATCTTAAATTGTATTATTTACTCCTGATCACTCTTAATTGTTAACACTTTCCTAAAAGTTGGGAGGGGGGTGCGATTATTAGCCCTCAGGATGTTTTCTTAATGTTCTTCTGCATTTCTGTCAGGTCATTTTTAAAAATATTTTCAAAATTTAAAAAATTAGGACAGTAGTGTTTTAAACACATGTGTTAAATACACAACAAAACCTTCTGCATTTGTGATAAACAGTAAATGAATAACCTTTATTCTCTGCTTATTCTTCACAGGGGAGTCCAATGGATCCAATGGTGATGAAGAGGCCCCAGTTGTATGGGATGAGCAGCAACCCTCATTCCCAGGCGCAGCAGAGCAGCCCGTACCCAGGAGGCTCCTACGGTCCTCCCGGCGCACAGCGGTACCCCCTTGGCATGCAGGGCCGGGCCCCAGGGGCCCTGGGAGCCCTGCAGTACCCACAGCAGCAGGTGGGTGCTGGTTTTTCTCCCTGCCTCTCTCTTTTGCTCTGTCTTTAGTTGTCAACCTGAGATTGGTGTTAAGAGAATTAGGGGGCATTTCATTGATTTTTTTTTTTTTTTTGGTACCAGGGATTGAACTTAGGGGCACTGAGCCACATCCCCAGCCCTATTTTGCATTTTATTTAGACTGACTCTCGCTGAGTTGCTTAGTACCTCACCATTGCCGATGCTTGCTTTGAATTCACTATCCTCCTGCCTCAGCCTCCCCAACTGCTGGGGTTACAGGAGTGCGCCACAGCTCCCTGCTCTTTTAGTTATCATTCTTGATGAAACAGTAAAAATCATTAATTTATCTTGACCTTTAAAATCAAGTTCTTGTAATGTTGAACTTTATACAACAAAGTAGACAAAAATCCCGGTTTTGTAGAAGGCCAGTAGTGCTGATTGTATTTGAAAGGTGGACTGCATCATAATTTTTCAGAAAATTATATAGATCTGAGCTCTATAAAGTAAACTTGGCGTTCTTACATTTCTGAGGTCAGACTGTGTCAAATTCAGAGCTGTGAACAGATTTCCTTCTGGTGACCTTTCAAGAAATTCAAAAGGTCTTGTCCATGAAGATATTGCCAGCTTAATTTTTTTTATTAATAAAGCATTTCCTGTATAACTTTTAAAAAAGGTTTCTGTATTTCATATGAGGATTTGATCTGTTGTCTTAGATCTTAATGAGTTTTACAGCAAAAGATCTAATTTTTGCATTTTTCTCCAGAATCAAATGAAGTTAAGATAAATGACCAGTCACCTGGCAATCTAAACCTCCAGCCTCTCTGATACTCCTTATTATGTTGGTCCGAGGAGCATGAAATTGGGAAAAGACTAAATTAGATTCAAACTTGTCAGGGTATTTAGTTTCTAGGAACCCCAGAAAGGGGTATTTCCAAATTGCTGTGCTGTGCCCGGTGCCCCCAGGGAGTGGGGAGGCTGATACCCTTGGGGGTTTGCTGTCCAGATTGGGGCATTCCAGGAGGCTGCCTGGAACCCATTCCAGGGCTTGACACCCTTCCTCTCAGGACATGCTTCCCTGTATTTGATCAAAAATCTGCTGGGGGCAGGGGGAGAAAGGCTGGACCGAACTAGTTTTCTCTCTAAAGTGGGTGTGGAGGAAGGTGTCTCAGACTTCAAGTGGTCCAGGGCTGGATACTAAAAGTTCACCAGTAAGTTGCCTCCCAGCCTTCCCTTTAAGGCTGAGTAGTGTCTTTCCTCTTTATCTTTATGGAGGAAGATAAAAGGAGCTGAGTCTCTGGAGTCCTAGCTGTTGATTTCTTAAACAACCTGTAGTTATTGTTTGAAGATTTCACTCGGCAGTTATTAAAAATCAGTTACTGGGAATGCTGACTGTCAATTCAGTTGCATACTGAACTGTACTCTTAATTTTCTCGACATTATTACTTTCTTTCAGCAATATTTTGTTTCTTAGAATCAAAGTCCTTAGTTGTGCTTGCTAATTGTGAGAGGGAGGTAATTTGTAAATGTGAAAAGTGATTGGGTTTCCGTGTCTCTGCAGCCCCCCAACTCCTGTTTTAATTTAGAGCTACTTTGCCTTTTTGTGAGGGGAAGAAGCCAACAGCTGTTTGTACTGGGATTGACAGTTCTGTGTAGCCTCTGGCCACTGGGGTGGCTGGGGAGGGGTGGGGAAGAGGCGGAGGGTTGTGAGGAGTGGCAGGGCTGCCAGACAGTGCCTACTGCCCTGTCCCTCTTGAGTCTGTGCCTTCTTTTTCCACCACTTCCCCTGATGTGGCCTTGGAAAGTTGTTTTCAAAGTCCTTTTTAGAAGTTTGAGACCTTGGCTTAGTTTGCAGAATTACAGTCAGAGTCACACAAATGGAGTGTGTGAAGCATGATTATTAGGAAATTTCTTTTTATTATTTCCAAACATAGAGGACCTACACAGATACATAGAGCAGTCTCATTTGTCTTAGCTTCTTGGTTTCATTTAACAATTCTGACTTTTATATTTTAATAATCAAACAACTTTTAGATTTATTTGAAGGGGCAAATTGATGACGATTATCCTAGTATTTCAGCAAATAGTTGATCTGGAATTATAAAATGGGAAAGAGAAGGAAAGCAAAATGAGCCAGTTGTGGTGGTGTACCCCTGTAGTCTAGCAACTTGGGAGGTTGAGGCAGGAGGATTGCAAGTTTGAGGCCCAGCTTTAGCAACTTAGTGAGACCCTGTCCTTTTTTAAAAAAAATTTTATTCATTTTATTGTTGATGGACCTTTATTTTTTATTTATATGTGGTGCTGGGAATCAAACCAGTGCCTCACACATTCGAGGCAAGCGCTCTACCACTGAGCCACAACCACCATCCCCTCTTAAAAAAAAAGAAAACAAAAGAAAAAAAGGGAGGAGGATTCAGCTAAGTGGTAAAGTGAAAATAAATGAGTAAATAAAAAGCAAAATGAGAGGGCTGGGGATGTGGCTCAAGCTGTAGTGCGCTCGCCTGGCATGCATGGGGCCCGGGTTCGATCCTCAGCACCTCATACAAAGATGTTGTGTCCACCGAAAACTAAAAAGTAAATATTAAAAAATTCTCTCTCTCTCTTTAAAAAAAAAAAAAAAAGCAAAATGAGAGAGCTAAGTCCAAAAGTGGTTTATAATGGGAAAGCATGAATTTTTTAGTTTGTAGAAAGATCCATATTATGAATACCTTTACAACAAATCTTAATTTTAATTGAGGTTTTATATCAGGTATTTTACTCTGCTGACCAGAAAGAATTACTCAGATCTTTCTGATAACGAAAGGAAAATAGTGGATCTGATAAGAAACTATCCTGGTGCAGTAATGCCCAGCTTTCAGATTGAATTGATCTTAATCTAGGATCTAAATAATCTGTGCTGCTTTTTCACCCTTTCATGTAGTTATAATAGTTCTGAAACACAATATTTTGTTTTGAAATTTAAAAGACTAAACTGGGTATACATTTTTGAATGTGTGCAATATTTTAAAGAAGACATACAGCTTTTATAATAGCAAGTCCAAATCCACGTGACCTTAGTAGATTTGAAATGGGAAGAAATTAATGAGCAAGGTTGAGCAAAGGTTATTAGAGAACTCACTCGCATTTAATTTTGTTAGTTTTAGCCTGTGTTCTTTGAGGAATTCAATGGAGTTGCTGTTTGTAAATTTTGGAAGTTATGAATGTGTCCACAGACAAGGTCCTATCACTGATTGGCTGCTGGTTCTATCCTTCTTCTCCAAGGATTAATATAATTGGATGAGCATTATTGTAGTTATGGCTACTAATGTTCTTGAGGGAAAGAGTTGGACGATAATTATGACATTGAATATTTATCGAGTGGACATCACCACCTAGGCATGACTTTGCTTTGGATGCCTTCCAAAGCTTTCTGTGTTTGGTTTGTGAACCTCTAATGAGCTGAATCCAGCTCATTTAATATTGCTCATATATTTTTGCAAAGGATTAAAATGCAGGAATTCAAGTTTGTAAATTGAGTTGCCCACTTACCAGCTGAGTGGTAAGTTTTCTTTGGCTCAGGGGTCACAGTTTGATTCCTGGCTGGCATTCCATTCCTGTGATAGGAATTTTAAATAAGTATTCTGTTGGAAAAAAAAAAAACTGCAGCGGTTTTGTGAAATTTAGCATGGATTTGATCTCTGTTTATTTTTTGTCTCTGAGGGTCAGGAAGAACTGGCCGCCGAGTGTTTGATTTTAGTATTAACTTGGTGAATTTTGATTTATATGGTGATAATTTTATTTTTGAAATAAACTCATGCCTGGGTCGTTGAAGCATGACGTGATAATAGTATATTGTTTTAGTCTGTATTAACTGGAACTAGATTTGTGGTCTTTTACTTGCTGTTTCTCTCTCTCATCAGGCAAATACATGCCTAAACAGATTAGTCTTGCACGGTTCCCTAAAAACTAGTCTACTTGGGTTTTTATTGAGTTGAGAGGGGAAATGAATTTTCTATGCCTCTGTGGAGAATGTTCTGCCTCCAGGCTCCCGGAATTCAAACCTGGGGATGGTTAGCAGAAGCACATTGGTTGACTTCATCTAGTGCATAGCTACACAGATGTTTAATCCTTAAAGTTGCTGGAATTTGACTCTTTTGAGTTTTTAATTTATAGACATAGAGGTAGTCTTTACTGACAGGGATATGGATAAACAAGTGCTTTTTTCATTTTTCTTGTCATCTGTGATCATAAATGTGTACTGTACATAGACCCTTACCAACTTGCAAAGAAGAATTTTATGTAAAATAACACTCAGGAAAAGTAGGCTATAGAAGGGGTGTGTGTGTGTGTGTCCCCAACTGGTTTCAGTGGTGCAGTCTGAGCTCTTCCTTGAGGTCTTGAGTTTGGGGTTGGCGTTTTTCACTGCTCTTACCTTGTTGTTGAGGTCTGATAGTACGGTGCCTGTTGGAATTATAAAATGGGGAAAGTGAAAGAAATCAAAACCAGACACGTAAGTTCATGGGTGGTTCATCACAGGAAACTGACATTTTTAGTTTGTAAAACAATCTGTATTGTGAAGACCTTTACAACAAAACATGGAATATGGTCATTGTTGAAAGTGACAAAATTAAGTAGATGTTATTTTTTTTATGCTGACTCATCTGAACTTAGTACTTTAAGTTAAAGTAAAAACTGAATTAAAAACAAGTTCTTTTGAAGAGTACTTTAAAAAAATTTATTTTATTGTATTTGTTCTTTTTAGATATACATGACAGTAGAATGTATGTTGGCATGTTGCACCTATATGGAGTATAGCTTATTCTAATTAGGATCCTATTCTTTTGGTTATACACGATGTGGAGTTACCCTGGTTGTGTATTCAAATACAAGGCTAGGAAAGTCATGTCTGATGAATTCTACTGTCCTCTCCATTCCCTCTTCCTCCCTTCCCTTTGTCTAATCCAGTGGACTTCTCTTCTTCCCCTCCCCAGAGGACTTTTAAAAGCAGTAGGTATTCTAGTGTGTGT